CGGTCCCTTTGCTGATGAGCGTGGAGCCCTATGACCGCTCCCTGATGCCCCCTCCTCAACTCATTGGGACCTGTAGTCTGCTGCAGGCTTACGCCAGCAGCAGGGTGTTGGGACTGGACTATGCTTGCCAAGGTGCTCTGGACATGCGGTCGTAATTATTGGCTACAATGACCAAAGAAAGACAATAGTTAATAACGTTTTTGGGGGGTTTTTTTTGTTGTTTTTTTTTTGTTTTTTTTGTTTTTTTTTGTTTGTTTTTTTTTTAAATCGGTGCTGATCTGATAGCCAACCGATATTTTGGTGCACCCCTAAAAAAAAGTTAAATAAGTAGCAGTTACATTTAGATGGTTTGTACATAGTAGAGCAATAAATGCAAAGAGAAAACATGCAGTACAGGCCAGGTAAAGGCAAATGAAGAGGACCACAAACCAAAAGAAAAAGAAACAATTGGACAGAAAACTATGCGATGAGGGTGTCTAAAAAGCCAAGGCAGGAAATGGTTAATGATGACTTTCAGCAGCCTGAAGTGAAAGATGAGGACTGAGGAGGGATCCTGGGATCTGGCTAGGAAGAGTTCAAACAAGACCTTAAATAAAACATCCTCAGTGGAACAGAAACAGCAGATTTGGAAAGGGTCAAAGAGGGAAAGAAGAGATAATCCATGCAGTGGATGGCAGATAACATGAAACACTAACCATCTGCTAAACAATTTAATTCTGAGAAAATGACTTAAAAAAACTCTGTATTAACCGTAAAAGAAAAAGTGGGTTTTGTTGCTTGTGATTACTCACACTCCCACATATGGAGGCTGGCTGGACAGACATTTCACAATTCTTACTTGCAAGGTATAGAGAGAACTCCATGTTCCACAAGCAAGACTCAAACATGTTTGTTCCCAGAGCTCAGGAACTGCCAATGTCTATTGGGAGCTCTGCACCCAAACTGCTCTTTCAGTTCACAGCCACTTAATACCAGCGCTAGCGTCTGTCCTCTGGGAACAAATTAAAAAAGACTATGGCTGCATTTGTATTGCTGATACAGTAATTTGTGTGCGCGGTACTAATTCAAAATAAACATGTGAGTTACTCATATTTAAATAGTTTAATGTTAAATTTTACTGAAAGTACACGGTTATCAATGACCAGCTGCTATAAATAACACACAAGCAAAGTAGTAATGCTCAAACTAGTACAATATACTTCAATAACCTTCAGCATACTTTTTGCTTATCAGACAATACAAGCAGTTCCTTTTGTTTGATACCACACAGAGGGCAAGGCCAATTTTCTGTAGAATAAATTTACCTTTTAATCTTTTGAGGGTGTAACATTACACAGTTATAAAACAGACACAGCTTTTCTTAGGGCTGGATTCTACTACCCATTCAAAGTCTTACCCTATTAAACCGCTTTGCTTGAAAAGTATGACCATTTGCACAATACAGCTTTCGCCACCGGCGGGCACCACGACGATAAATGGATTCTAAGAGGAAGAAAAGTATAAACAGATGAATGAAAGTGTAAATATTGCACTTGAAAGCGTGTGGTACATTTTACAAACTACTTTAAAAGATGAAGGAAGATTTCACTAGGAATTTTCTGCATGAAAATAACTACAAATGCACCTTTGCTCAGATCTGATACTTGTAAAGGATTTTATTTTTCTTAAAACCAAAATGCAAGAACCTTCAGATATTTGGTATATGAGAACTTTTAGTTTTCTATAATCTTGCTTTTAACTGTGTAGGAATGTGGTGTATGATAATCCCAACCAAGCATCCCTAGAAACTTCTGTAACTTCACAGAAGAGGTAGAGGTCAGAAAGCAACAGCTTAAGATGCCCTACATTTCCTTAAGAGTGCTGACACAAGTGATATTTTTCGTGCAATCAGGCCCCTGAAAGCACTCTACAGCTGTGACTTAACACATGCATGGCTGCAAAATGCTTTTAAAATGGCCAATTGCACAAAAAGTTAACCCTGGTAAAATTAAGTATTAGATGAAGGTGCTCTAAAGGAGAGCACCTTAGGGAACTTGTGTTCCCTCCAGAGTAAATTTTTCATGCAGGGACGGGACTGGGCTGGTGCTCACACCAGCAGCAGTAGCCCAGCCATGTCCTAGGGCTGTCAGTGCAGGAGGGAAGGGGAAGAGGAGGGAGCAGACAGCACAGAGCTGCCCGCTGCTTTTGAATGGCCAGGGGGAAGGGGTGTAACAAAGCACCCTCGCCTTGCAGGCTTGGCCTGGCTCTCCCCAATACCCCAGCCAACAGCTCTGTGCTGGCTGCTCCCTCCCCTTCCCCATCCCTCCCATGCTGACAGCCCCGGAGTTGGGGGATAGTGGGGGGCTGTGGACAAGGGTGGTTTGGTAGCCTCTTAAGAGGCTGCTGAAGCGCCCCCACCTGCTGGCCACAGCTGGTGCAGACAGGCTCCAGCCCCCACCCCTGCCCCAACAGGCCAATGTCTTGTGCTGGGGGGTGGGTGCCTCTACCTCACGGCGCTTTATGTAAAGCACCATGAGTTAGAGTGGGGCCCTGAACATCCATAGGCACCCTAAATAGACTGATCCAACCTAGTAGAACTTCTAAGGGTGAATGAGTAGGGATGCAATCTTAAAATTAAGAGCAGTACTGAATACAAGTCATCAAATCATTCTTACAATAAGGGGGCATGGAGGAGAACCCCCAAGAACCATTATTTTGCAGACTATTTCTTTCAACATCTGAGTGCAAACCCAGTCTTTACAGAAAGATTACCTCTTATTCACGTCCACAATTTAAAGAGGTAATAACTTCCTTTTCCACCTTTTCAGGGAATTTTAAAGCTGCAAGATGCTTAAGTCTATTTAGTTTTCATATTATAACAAATTTCTGCAACAAGATGGCAATGTTTGAAATGATGAAAACACCCAAACTGTATACTACATTTCAGTTAAAAAGACTAGATAGTATTGTCAGTCATTTAGTCTACCCAGACTTGGGAAGAGACAAAGCTAGATTAGAAGAGTTATAGCCACACTTGCTAGGCTTAGACATCTCAGGAATCCCTTGAGATATTCAAAATCAGCAGATTTTTATCAGTTCAGATTCTATTACAAGATAAATGTGCTATGAGCATTTTCAAGAAGGGATTTTTACAACAAAAATGAGCTTACTATCTTCTCCTGGACAGGGCATGCCAGGCCTTTCTGGTACACAAGGAAACACTGTAAAATAGAAAGTGACTTCAGATTAATCTCATTTCAGATATTAAAAAAACATATTAAAAAGACAAATAGTTATAATGGACAGTTGTATTATCTGAGAAGACAGAGTACAAAGACTTCACAATACAAGGTCTGTGAGTGGCTATACCAAGCCACTAAGAATCCTGAAAGAAGAAAACTAATAAAACAAACACATGCATCCAACCCTCTATCTCCTTATTTTCTTTTTTTGATTTTCTTCAATTCTTCCATATTCTTTATTCTAAAAAGTCATTTAAACAAATTATTATCTGAGCTGGGATGTGGTGTACCGAGTGCTCACTGACTCCTTTACAAGGATATGAAAAATTAATGTAAATTTGTTAATTTCATCTGTTCACTGACATAAACTGACTTCCTTACTGAGGGCTTAAACAATCTCTATTTCTACCAGATGCATAGGTATATCAGAGTCCCCAGACTGTTTCTATAGTGTGAATGACATTTTAACCATCTTTGTGGCTATTTTTAATTTTGTGTACAGTTGCCTAATGTCTTTATTAGAAATGTATTATCTACATGACAAAAATATTAGAAAAATCATTTACTAATTGATTACTGTGTGTCGGTCTTCCACGAGCCCAAGGGTATCACCCTGCCTGACAAGATGCAGGATTACCAGGGTAAGGGCAAACATACATCCATCATTGGCATAGATCTTGTGAAGGAACACCTTGAAAGGGAACACCTGGACATGCCAAAATCAGCTGGCCCGGATGGAATGCACCCAAGAGTGCTAAAGGAACTGGCTGACATCATAGCGTGGCCAATGGTGAGGATATTCGACAACTCCCAATTCAGGTATATAGAGAGCAAAAAGAAGGCTCAGGGTAGCATAGGCCCTGTACAAGACAAACTAGGGCAATTAGTGACAGATAAGGGGGGGCAAAGCTGAGCTCTTCAATGAGTTTTTTGCCTCTGTATTCCTGAACTTGAATCAGGACAAATCCCCCAGTTGGATCATAGACAGGCATAAAGGGGAAACCAGCCCACCAACTGTTAGCACCAACTTAGTGAAGAGACGCTTGGAGGGGCTGGATGTGTTTAAGTCAACAAGCTCGGATGATCTTCATCCAAGGGAGTTGAAGGAATTGTCCAGTGTCATAACAGAGCTACTGGCTCAATTGTTTGAGCGCTCTTGGTGCTAAGGTCAGGTCCCAGAGGACTGGAAAAGGGCCAATGGGATCCCTATTTTCAAGAAGGGAAGGAAGGAGGATCCGAGTAACTACAGACTGGTTAGTCTCACCTCTATCCTCGGGAAAACTTTTGAAAAAATTATTAAGGATAGCTGTGCATGTCCAGCATGCTAAACGGCAACCAGCCTGGATTTATAGGAGGTAAATCCTGCCTGACACCCCCCAGAGGTGGTGCACTTTCAAGAAACACTTGGATGCCTATGTTGCTGGGATCATTTGCCCTTGGGCAGGGGCTGGACCCAATGATTTTGCAAGGTCCCTTGCAGCCCTAATGCCTATGTCTATGAAATCTATGATAATATTATTCTTGTATAGTAAAATAAGGTCATTAGCAGGACAGAAGAGTGAGCACCATTAGCTGCTCATAGATTAGTTTTCTGACAACTTCTATTATAAATGTGTCTGTTTACATGCAATATTATGTATTTATGATCTTCTCCATGCTAGTACTTTTTGATATAGCCCCAGAAAAATACTTCTGGCTGTAATAATAGCAGAAACAGTGTAGACCACTGATAAGTTAGATATGATACTAGCTTGATCACTTCAAAATATCGTCAAATAATCAATACAAGCGGAGGCAGGAAATATGGAAATGCATATTTCAGGACAAAGCAAAGATATACTTGGGCTAAGCAGAATTAATGGGCACTTCTACATTCACTCTATGGAATTTTCTCTCCCCTATGTCCTTAGTGAAAATTATTAGCATTTTAATTCCCTGCTCCAGAAAGTAGAAACATTCACCATTTTATAAGCCTTAAAAAAGCTCACTAGAAAAAGAGAAACAGTAGTTAGTCTCAGATATCTGTCTCTGTTCTAACTGAAATTACAAGTTTTGATTTGTGCCTACATGGATGAAATAGAATTCAATTCAATTTGAGCTTCTGAAGCCATTTTGCTTTCATTCCCTAAAACAGGGGTCATGCTAAAACAACATCATGCTTGTCCCTTTTTCTTGGGAGCCAGCTGCTTTCTTCTATTACTTTAAAATTTAGTTTCTGCAGGTTCTAGGTCTCCGCATACAAAGAAAAATATTCTAACACAAGCAGAGGAAGTACTAATTTACTTAGCCTGGAGAAATAACCCCAGTGGGCCAAACCATAGCTTGGACAGGTATGAATTGTTCACATACAGCACTGCCAGTTTTTTTACTGTTCAGCATTAACTTTAAAATATTCTGTTCCATCTTGAAGTCTGATCGAAGTACCTAACCTAGGCCTGTGAATGAAGATTATTAGTTTATTTTCTTTTATTTGACTCCTACTTTAAAAGCAGTGAGCAGGGAATAGGACCCAGCATGGTATGAACAACACAGTCAGCTTCCTGCCAGCACAAGCATGCCAAGCACTACTGTACCAAATGCAAGGAGACGTTCTTTCCACTTCTATTTCTACATGTTATTCACTGCTAACAAGTTTTCTATCAACACTTTCACCAATCAAGGTAGCGTTAGCAATACTATGGGATTTTGGTGCAGCAGTCTTCTTCTAAGGATATCAAATCATTTGGTGCAGTAGTCTTTGATGCATGCGTGGATGAGAAGGGGAGAAAAGTACAAACTAGCAAATCTCAATATTCAGATGTGATAAGGAAGACCAAATCAATATCCAGAGGAACAGAAAGAAGGGTGTACTGGCTTATTTGTATAAGGAGAAAGAATTTAAGCTCTACTCTACCATGAATTAGCAGCTCAGAATCTTTGTTTAATTCATATAACCGGAAAGCTTCTTCCAACTCCAGCTGAGAAGAAACTGTACACGGGTCTCCTAAAAAGAAAGAAAGAAAAAGAAATATCAGTGTAATTTGAAGATATAGCATTGTGATGGCATTTTGCCACAATTGCTTTTAATTTTAGTCACAGCCATATTCATATCTATATTAGTGTTTCTAAGTTATGCGTTCTTAATGCTTCTAGTCAGTCAGAAAGAAGAATCCTGTTCCAGAGATTGTATCTAAACTCCCTCCAGATTTAATAAGAGATTTTGTGACTCGTTTACTTTGTACTATTTTGGCGCTTCTCCTACACATTTTGTACGATAGAAACAAAGAGGTACTCTCACACAGTATAAGAAAAACCATGAGCCATATATTTCAGATTTCTAAAATTATATTGCTTTTTCATGTATAAAAGTGATGAGACTATGAAAAATTTTCTACAACATTCATCCAACATAAAAAGAAGAAATGGAACAAATTACTCCAAGAACAACTTTCCCAGCCACAAATCAACCATCTAGGAACACCAACACCTTACAACATTTCAACCTCAGACTTGATGAAACTGAAAGCAGTGACCAACCCTCAAATATCATCACTCTCTCCACGCACACACTTACCAAAACTGAAAAATCTGTCCTTTACAAATGCCTAAATTTCTGTCCAGAAAAATACCCTACTAAAATACTTCAATGTGGAGACTAGAAGAATTCTTCTGACACCTCCGCCTCAAAGAATATTTCCCTGACCAAAATGAATCCACTTCCAACAACTTCTGACAACATTGAGGAAAAGATCAACCCCAAAAATCCCCAAAGAGCTTCAGATTGGACACCTCACAGTGGACGAAACCCTAACCTTGACCGCTACACATTGACTGCTTCAGGGAAAGAATGAACAATGAAATAATCAACAACACGCCACCATAACAACCTCTCTCTACCAGAAAGAAAGGCCATAGAATCTCTAAGATTGAACCTCAAAATAGTAATAAAACCAGCAGAGAAAGGAGGAGCCATAGTCATCGTAAACCGTGAAGGCTACGTAAAGGAAGCCAACGGACAACTCTGACACCATCTACTACAAAGAACTACAAGAAGACCCTACTCCCCTTTTCACCATGAAACTCAATAATACCATCAAATCATTTCCATCAGAACTACAAGAAAAACTACAGACCTTGATCCCCCCACTACCCAACCCAGGTACTTGTTACATGCTCCCTAAATTCCACAAACGAGGGAACCCTGGAAGATCTATCATATCCAACCATGGGACCCTAACTGAAGAAATATCAGGTTTCATTGAATCAATCCTAAAACCACTTGGACAAAACTTGTTCTTTGGGTGACAAGACACTACAGAAACTTAAAAACATAGACCACCCTCCCAGCACCCTCCTAGCTACCATGGACATTACCAGCCTATACACCAACATCCCACACCAGGATGGCATCCAAGTCAGCCTTACATATCTACAAGACCAAGATTACAACTCAGAGTACAGACCCAAAGATATTACTGACCTTATACACTTCATCCTCTCACACAACAATTTCACTTTTAATAACCAACACTTCCTCCAGACCATGGGCACAGCTATGGGCACCAAAATGCCCCCACAGTATGCCAACCTTTTTAAGAGCCACCTGGAAGACTTCCTCAAGGACTGCACCATCAAACCCTTGCTATACTTAAGATATATCGATGAAATCTTCATCTTTTGAACTGAAAACCTGCAATCTCTGATTGAGTTCCACCAGAAATTCAACAATCACCATCCCTCCATCCGACTATCTCTTGAATACTCCAGCACCAACATCTCCTTTTTAGACACGATGAGCAGCATCCATAATGAGAAAATACAGACCTTGTTATACAAGAAACCCACAGACCAACAGACCCCCATATCTGCACAGAACCAGCAGTCATGCTAAACACACCAAAAAAGCTGTGATATACAGCCAAGCCCTCAGATACCACTGAATTTGCATTGAGGAGAACACCCGGGACTGCCACCCCACCGATCTTAAAAAGCCTTTCACCCAACAAGGACACTCCTCCAGAGCGATAGCGCACACATTTGAAAGAGCCACCCAGATACCACGTGAAGAATTGCTGCAGTACAGAAGAAAACCCCCATGAATCACACACTGTTGGTCATTATGACATATCACCCCTCCCTCATACCCATATGGGAGATCCTCAAACAATTGCAACCCATACTAGAAAGAGACCCTATTCTTAAAGAGATCTTCCCAGAGCCACCCACCCTAGTCTTCAAACAAGCATGAACCTCACTAACCTCATCACCAGAAACAAACATCCTCAGGCCCAAAACACACTGAATGGATCCAGACCATGCCATGACAAGAAATGCAAAACCTGCCAACACATCTCCATCACCCCCACAATTACTATACCCCCAACAGAGCCATCAGCATTCCTGGATCTTACAGCTGCACCTCCAGAAATGTAATATATCTCATCCAATCCACAAAATGCCCTGATGGTAATTACATAGGAGGGACCAAACAACAACTGCGCACCAGAATGAACACACACTGGAAATCGGTCAAAGACAAGAATACCCGATTACCTGTGGGGGCACATTTCACAGGTACCTCTCCACTATTCATCTCCCTACTCTCCCCACCACCCAGCCTGTCTCTCACCCACTGACTCCTCTATTAACATCTTCATTGACTGCCTATCTTATACGCATACCAGCCCAGCCACTGGCTAATTTACTTTTCATTCTATTCAGGAAGAGCACACACCAACCGCAGAAACTTCTTCAGCCTGACGAAGGGTTTTTAAACCCGAAAGCTTGCTTAAAATTTTTTTCCAACTATTTAAGTTGATCTAATAAAAGATAACAGATTCACCCAGATTCACATTGTCTGCCTATGTCTAGAATGTCAAACTCATCTGACTCCCTGGGCTGGAGGAGTGGTACGGGGCTGATCCCCTGGCCAGACTGGGCTCTCAGACCCATGTACATGCTCCTCCTCTCCTATATGCTGGATCTGGGGCAGGTAGCGCACACATCCTGGGACTAGCTGGGTCAGGAAGTGAGTGTAGTGCAGGGGTGGGCAAAATAGAGCCCGTGGGCTGAATCCAGCCCACCAGGCCATTCTATCTGGCCTGCAGAGCCCCTTAAAAATTGAGTAAATTAATATTTATTTGCCCCGGGTCCCTATCAAAGCTGGCTGGAGCCAGGGGCAGTAGGACCCAGAGGGAGCCCTCAGCAGGCTTGAGTAGCCCAGCCAGTTCCCTGCTTTCCTACCCCAGCCCTGCTCCAGCACTACATGGCTCCTGGCTGCATCCTGGGACCACGAGGCATGGGACCACGCTGGTAGGGGTGTGTATGTGTGTGCGCCCATGTATTGGCAGGCATAAGAACAGAGTGTGTGTGTGTGTGTGTGTGTGTGTATTTTCATAGGATGAGTCCTACATGCACACCCCTCCATACACATGCACCTACGCATCCCCTCGCACTGCCATACACAAACCCCAGCCACCCTCCCCCCATACCCACCCACACCTAACATACTTGCACACTCACATGGCCACCATACAGCCAGGCATGGGAGCTGGGGGCAGCTCTGGCAGCTGAATGCAGGTAAGTCGATGGGGGGTTGGAAGGCCAGGCCTTAGGGACTTTGTGGGGGGAGGGGGTGTGAAGTGTGTGGTGGGCGGGCAGGCAGGTGTTTCCTGGTGCTAAGGGAAGGTGTCTGGGCACCGTAGCTGCAGCACGGTAAGGGGGAGGTACCTGCCCCTCCAGTGGTGTAAGGGGGCAGGGGGGCACTTTTTGGGCATCGGGGAGCTGTGTAGCCAAGCCAATTGCACCAGTCCTGGGGCTTGTGCTCACAGGGGCAAGGCAGCTGGGAAGATGATGTTCTGGGGGGAGGGGGTGGGGCTCTGGTCAGGCTCCCTGGTGCAGTGTGGGAGCTCCAGCCTAGGGCAGCGGGTGTCACAGGCATCCCTTCCTCCTCCCTCCAGTCTGTGCCATGGTCAGACTCACTCCGCTGCCACCCACAATGAGTCTGAGCTGCTACAGCCACTGCACTCCAGCCAGGGTGGGACGGGGGCAGCTGGGAGTGAAGGGCGGGGTGGCCTGTGGCTTGGGAGTGATGGGCAATGGCATGGGCAGGACACTGACATATCAGGGTTGTTCAGCGCCACAGCTGAACCTGCATCCTTGTGCAAGAAGGTGACAGGCAAAGCTATGATTTTTCATAATGAAAAAAACCAAGATTAAACACCAAAACATTTTAGAATTTAGTATTTAGAATTTATTTTATTATAATGACTGAGGCATGGTAGGCTTCCAAACTGCTTTACAATTCTAAATATATCAATAAAATATTGTGTTAAATTGATACATATACACGATACATCTATATAAAATTATTAGTTTTAATTTCTGTTGGATGCCTAAAACTGAAATGTTAATGTTTCATCTTCTTAGAAGATACTTGACAGTTATTCCCTTTAAAATAGCCATCTAATTAGCAGGGATCCTGGCTCTCTCTTTTAAAAAAAAAAATAAAAAAATCCCAAATTATCTGATTAAAACTCCCAAAATTATATTTACTTTAAATCAGAGAATTTGGTGGGTTTTTTAAGTTTATTTATAAATTTATTTTTTTTAAATAGCAAATCTCCGATTACCCCCTCCCCCAAAATATATCTATATATAAAAATAAATAAATAAATGAATAAAATTTTGGGGGGGTTAATCAGAGAATTGAGTATTTTTTAAAATCGGAGAATTCATAGTTTTTTAAAACAGAGAAAACCAGGATCCCTGCAGATTAGATGGATTTATAAAGGGAATAACTAGCAAGTATCTTCTAAGATCAAACATTAACATTTCTATTTTTTAGGCATCCAACATAAGTTTAAAAAATAATTTTTATAGCAACAAGCATACACAAACTCTTCAGAAGTGCAGCTGTTTTTTTTAATTTCAAAATACAAAACTGGGTGTGTTTACTTGTTGTGTTAGCGCAACACAATCATGCCTACAGTTTTCATTAAACAAAAAGATTAATATCTGATGGTTAATAAAGCAAGTCTCAGTGCATGTCAGGGATGCAACTAAGGTGGTATATCTAAAATGAGACCAAAAAACAGTCAAAGTTTGTATTACTTGAAAATTTACTTTTTCAGGGGAGTCGCATCCATTTATCTTAAGAGAGATTACCTTCATAATTAAGTTAGGTTTAGCTTTGTAAGCACATGCTGGATATATAAAATGGAAGTTAAAATGCTTTTTATTTTACAGGGGCTAAAATAGTTAGATTTGGTAATAGAGATGACACAGGAAAAAATCCAGTAAATGATCATTCCAATTAAACTGCTTAATAGCTTACTCCTGTACTTGGAACAGGCAGTTTATTTAGGCCATAATTCACTACTTACTGATTAAACACTATATTTCCTGTTATATATTCCAACAACCATGAATAATTTATTCTACAATAATAGAAAGAAAATAGCATGTGCATGAAAAACAACTGACATACTATGTGTATTAAAAAAGATGAACTGAGGTTTTTTTAAGTTCTGGAAAAGGATTCTGAAATAAGCCAAATTACAAGTTTCTAATTAATTTGATTAGAAGAATTGAGATGATTTTGGGCAGCCAGGCAAACACTGTATGCATATGAATTACATTTAGTATATGCAATGGGATTTTATAAGCACTCAGCACTGGCTTGACTTTGCTACCTCTGAAGCTACAAAGATGAAGTTAAGGGGTTTGTTGGGGAGGGGGGGTACAGGGGCACATTCTGTATGTGTAGAACAAAGATTCGGAGAGCATCAAATTGATTCGGACCTTTTTATTGGTCTCCTGATTCGATTCAGATTTGGAGATTTGGCTGCCAAATCAGGCCAAATCTCCTCCAAATTGAATCAGCAGCTGAAGCTTCACACAGCCCTAACAGCTAGTCCAGGAGTAGCCAACGTTTTTTGGCCGGAGTGCTGAAAAAACCACAATGTCTACCTTGGAAGGTGTTGGAGAGCTGCGGAGCAGCTGTTTGCAGCCTCCCAGCTGCAGCCGGCCCAGAGAGCCCAGTCTGCTTGCAGCAGGGCTTGCAGCCTCCTAGCTGCCTGCTGGGAGCAGCCTGGGCTCCATGGCTGGCAGCAGCTGCTTACAGCCCAGGCTGGCGGTGGTGTGCTGAGCAAAATGGCCTTGCGTGCCATGCTCGGCACGCATGCCGGGGGTTGCTGACCCGAGCTAGTCCATTCCCATAGTGAAAGTGGGGAGGATGACATTTTTCAGGCCCTCAACTCAAAAGTTGAAATTCTTTCATTGTATACACATATAGTTGTAGAAATATTTGTAAATAGATTTTTTTCCATTAAAAAAAAAGAAGTTATTATTGTTCAGTTAAGGCCTAACCTCATAATGGAAGCAGCTGTTCTAGGAAATTCTCACTGCTACCATAATGGTAGAGGCACATACCGTAAGTGTACTCCATACAGAATACTGCTCCATGTCGCTGATAAATTGAATCGTCACTTATGTCCATTCTACAATGTCACATCTGCCCTGAAGCAACGAGGCTGCAGTCAAATGGTCTTTTTAGACCTCTTGAGTTCATATTACCATCTGGCAAACCTGCTCATTCAGTACTTCCATGGTTTAAGCACTGATTGTGGACCAGTGCTGAAGCTGAACAAACTGAACCTCTTTTAATTTTGAATAGGAAAAGTTGCGTCAAGTGGAAAACGACAACAATGCACAACCCAGCTTACACAGCTGTCTGCATACCATTACATTTAATATGTAGTCCAGGAAATGGTTCTACACGTAAGACCTAAGGTTTTGAGCTGAACCTTCAATCTCTGAGCATAACTTTTTGGTTTCATACTCAAAGCCAGCCTTTGTTTCACACCTAGAAATTGGGCCTAACAGCTAGAAATTGGGCCTAACAGCTCCACATGGAACATCTCTGTTAAGCAACAAGGAGACTCCACACTGCTCTTTGATGGAGTGAGGATAATTGGGACTTAAAATAAGTACTGTCAATATATGCTCTGTATATAAACAAGTAATTTACTTATTTTGATGCCCAAGAAACTGAAGTTGTACTGGCAGCTCTGTAATGGAGGTCAAACTTAGGACCATGCTAGTTTTCTCTCATAGCCTTAGAAATTAAATTGTAGGAACTGTACATGTATTTCATTTTATATCCACAATCATACAAATATATCATCTACATAATATGTTATCTTGTAGTACTTGGTAACAGTTTACCTTCTTCATCAATCCATTTCATAGTGAAGAGCTGTTCATTGTCAAAGGAGCACATGTCTCGAACTTCATTACACAGTCCCTCAAATGAGATGGAAGGTTCAAAATAGGTTATCATGATGTCCCTGAGCAAGAGAGAAAGAAAGAAAGAAATGAGCATTCAAATCCATTTATTATATGATTGTACACAGGATTAGAGCTATTCAGGCCCCAATTTATACTGCCAACACGAGAGGGGATGCGGGGGGGACACGAGAGAGAGAGAGAGAGAGAAAAAGATAAACTAAATGCCCCATAAAAAATAAAAGGAATCTTTTCTTGGCAAATACTCTCCTGCATTCTTATTGATTTTCATCTGTGTATTGTACATCAGTTACAAATAAATGAATTAGACTTTTAATGACAGAATTAATAGATCTAACATTGTAGTTTCTTTTTGGCAAAGTAGCTAGATTACAAGTGATTTTATTACCCAATTATTTGAAAACTGGAGAAGGTACCTATTTTTGATAATAGAAATACATAAACCCTACATTTTGTATAGAAACATACTGTGTCATTCAAATGGCAGCCACTTACCAGTTGGACAGCACAGCATTTTAATTGCATACACAAGTTATATCAGTACTATGATATAGTGGCAGGAGATGGGGACAAGAGGGGGTATGATACAAAACGTCTAAAAAGAAGAGATGAGGGGGGGGGAAAAAAAAAAGAGGATTCTCAAAATAAGTGGTTTCTAAGAAGGGTTTTTAAGGGTGGGAATCAGCATGTAAGTTCCCACAAAGTAAGAGAAGGCACGAGATTTACAGTCCACCAGCTGCTCTGTGCATATTCTTGTCCCCCAGTAGCTTAGCGCTCAATGAAAGCTAACAGCAACAACTTACCCTTCTTTCTCTTACTGCAGGTAAGAGCACATGGGCAGTTACCATGGAGCAGATGTCAAACTGTAAAGCCCATGTCTTCACCTTATGGTAACATGTCTGAGTGCCCATGTTCACACATCACTTTCACATTTTCCATCTCTCATGGAAAATATGGCTGTGCTGTGGTCCAAGCTTGGACTTCCCAAGATACAGCTCTTATTTCAGAAGACGTTGTTTGAGATGTCCTTGTTCTACGCATGTGTGCATATGCACATGTGCACACGTGTAGATGCACACAAAAAAGTATGTATTATAAATAAATATATATAATTTTTTGCATAGACCCAAGCCTCAAATGTATAAATAAGCCCCACCCCCAACCGAGTTCAAACATTTGGGATTCATCTCAAAATAACCAACCCTGCATACTGAGCAATGTTGAAAATTATAGACAAAGTTGAGAACGCCAGGCAAAGAGAGCATAAACTGATGAACCCAACAGAATGAAAAGCATGTGGACAGCATGCCTAGAACTTTAAGAAGATGGTTTGCAAGGGATCTGTTACCAAAGAAAGTGGATGGCCTAAGAGTATATCTCAATCCATTACTCTGACTTACATCTATGTACTGGAAACTGGAGTCCAACACCTAGCAGTTCCAGAAATATATCAAGCATGTTTCTGCCTCAATCCCACAGGGACTGCTTTTGAAGTTCTCTCCTGAAATCAATGATATATGTTCTAAAAATTACAAACAGACTCCAGTTTTGCTAAAGTCCTTGATGGTGCATATAAAGTATTTAATAGAAGGAAGATGAAAGACTCTGGTAAATAGGACAATGCAGTCGTATTAAAATGAACAAACAAAAGCAAGTCACTGGCTCCGTTGGTCAAGGGATTCCTGATACATAACTTACTTCATATAAACTGTTTGTGCCATTTTCTGACTACTGTCACTGCCTAAAAAAGTAAGGAATACAAGCACAGGCATAACTAACAAGTTCTGTGTCCAGCACAAAGTCTCCTGGAGAGTGGGAAGAAGGAGTACTGGTGATCAGTCTTACCTGTCCCAGGGACTCGGCCACTAGCAGCTGCTTAAGTGGCATGGCGTCCCCATGCCTAGCTACTGTGAAGACTCTCCAGGGGGCCACTGCTGCAGCGCCCCCTTTAAGTCAGAGTCCTGGCCTGAAGCCCACTCTCCCATCCCTAGTTAAGCTACTGAATACTAGGGCTGTGTCAAACTTAGGCAGCTGCTTCACTTCAGAGGTGTTTCAGCCTGTTTCAGCACCCAAAACACTGAATCCAAAATGAAACGGAAGGCTCCAAAACATCTCCGAAACTAAACAAAACCATCCAAAACATTTTGGAAAATTTCAGAGTTTCCAAGCCAGGCTTGCAGGGAAACAGAAACTAAGGCGGGGGGAAGAGGCCTGCTGTGGTATTGACATCTGTAGCTGGCCAGTGTCTGTGATCTGTCCCTGAGGTCGCTTCCAATCCCGGTGCTCTGGGGGAGGGATGGCAGCCTGCTGTCATTCCGCGCACAGATCCGGGGGCTTGCACCCCCTGGGAGGAGTCTGGCACAGCCCTGCAGCATTCCAGCGGGGCATGGGCCCCCAGATCTGCACGTGGGAATGACAGCGTGCTGCCACTGCTGGCAAGTGATTCACGTTTTACTTTGAACAGTTTGAGGTGCAGTTTCACAGAAACCTCTGCACCAGTCTCATCTCCTTGAAACTTGGCAGGCTTCATGCCCTCAGAAGAGGCTATCATCCCTGACATTTTCATCCAAATCAGGAAAAGAAATTACAATGTTATAGGCATTTTAGTGATTCCCCATTATAGCCTATGGCCAAAACAACATTGAAACCCTGAAACGTTTTCAACCAAATTGAAACAGAACAGCGATCCAAAAGACCGAAGCAAATCACTGTCCCTCTGAAACAGCCAAATCCAAAACCAAATCAAAACAGCCATTTTGCACAGCCCTACTGAATACAAAGGTCAGAGCACCAAAGGATAACATACAGTGATGCATCAGTGGAAGCCTATGGAGCTTGGGAGAGTACAGGACAGAGTCCTCGGTTCCTTCACACCTGTGCTCCATCACAGCTTCTAAGGGGCCGACACATCTTTAGGTAGATGATCCTTACTAGCAGAGAGCAAACTGTCCCATAAATTTACAAACTGCCCATAAAAGGCCAGGCTAAAAACAGCTGTCCATAAGGGAAAACGAGTCTTCCATAAAAATTAAGCAAAAAAAAAAAAAAAAGTTAAGCTTAGAGGTGCACCAATACATTGGTCCCATATCGGATCAGCACCGATATAAGGAAAACTGACTGTATCGGCAATCGGCTTTTTTCTGGCTGATGTGGCTGATAACGCGGCTGATAACAACTGTTCACTAGGGCACCCCTGGGAAAGACCAGGGCCCATGGATATAAACTCCTGGAAGGCTGCTTCGGGCTTAATACCAGGAAAAACTTCTTTACAGTCAGGGTGGCCAGACTGTGGAATAAATTCCCTCCAGAGGTGGTGCAATCATCTACCCTGGAGGTTTTCAAGAGGAAACTGGACAGTCACCTCGCGGGGGTCACTTGACCCCAGCTGTCTTCCGGCCTAGAACAGTGGGGCTGGACCGATGATCTGCGAGGTCCCTTCCAGCCCTTAACAATATATGAATCTATGAAAAAAAAATGCCCAGCGCATGCACGCAGCCACAGAGCAGCATGTAGGCGGTCAGGAGCATAGCCAGGTCTGGCTGGTAAGTCTGTTGTGAAGAAAGGAGTGTGGGGGGGGCAGATCGAGGTCCCCACAGTGAGGGAGTGGGGGTGGGGCTGGGGCTGCGCAGCTGGGGCAGGGCATGATACTGAGCTGTAAGCGGCTCATCTTGGGGGGGCGCGGGGAGGGGATGGTTTCTGCTGCTGCACACACCCCGGGAAGCAGGAGGAGGTGTGTGCCCCCAGATCTGCACACGGGGCAAGGGCGGGCTGCACTCAGGCTGGGCTCTGGCAACACTGCAAAGGAAGCTATGGCAAATTTTGGGGTGGCTGCAGCCCCTCTCCCAGTGCTGCTGCCACCTACCCCAGCCCCCCACCAGGAAGAGCCCAATCCCCTGCCTCTTACAGCTGCTTGTCTAAAAGGACCCAGAGAGCAGTGGTGCAGCTGGAAGGGAGCTGTGGAACCAAGAGGAAGGGGAGAGGGAGTGGAGCCAGCAAGAGTAAAGCTGGGAGGAACAACAAGATGTGGGGTTGAATAGTAGCACGACTAGGCAGATGAGGGGCTTCGAGGAGGTGCTAGTATGGCTCCCTCCACCCCTGAAGTCTTCTCCATGGCTGCCCCAAGAAGCCTGGCTATAGGAAGCCTGAAGAGCAAGCCATACGAGGAAAGGCTGACAGATATAGGACTATTCAGCCTAGAAAAAAGAAGACTTCAGGAAGATTGGTAGCAGCTTACAAATATATCAGGGGAGAGCATCAGGGACTAATTGAACAACTAGTTACCAATGTGCCCCAGGGGAAAACCAGGAGCAACAGCCATAAACTCCTAGAAGATTTCAGACTGGATATAAGGAAAAACTTCTTCATAATTCGTGTGACCAGACTGGAATAGGCTCCCAGCAGGGATGTGATGCAGGCACCAACCCTGAAGATCTTCAAAAGGAGAAAGAATGCACACCTTGCTGGGGTTATTTGAGCCCAGCAGTCTTTCCTTCCTAGAGCAGGGGAGCTGGATTCGATGATCTCACGAGGTCCCTTCCAGCCCTACACTTCTGTGAAGCTGTGGGAATCAGCTACATGTGGAAAGTAATCACATCATATGTCTCACACACCAGGGCTTTTTTTCGTGAAGTGCAGCCCTGAGCCCAGAAATGTATCTGGGAGGGGAAAAGGAGTGAACAGGGCATCAGGAGCAGCCCTATGGAGTCTGTGCCAGCCAGGCTGCTGCATGAGTATGCAGCAAGCCTGTCCCTCAGGTACAGCAGCCAGGCTCATGTAACTACAGCAGGAGCTGTAGCAGCTGCTGTCCAACCAAGTGCAGAGAGCAGGGATAGGAAAGATGCTGCTCACGCTCCTCTTCCTGCTCCCCAGCATAATGCCACACGCCCAACCCCATCTGCTGCAGTGTCAGCCTGGGAGGTGCAGCACAGGACAGGGTACAGTTGGGGGTACCAGTGTGTGGGATGAATCAAGGACCCCTGTGGTGCTGGCAGCAAGGTGTACATTACTGCAATCACACATGGTTGCCAACCCAAGACAATTT